AAGGGTTGCGAGCCAGTCGAGACCAAGCAGGTTGAGCTTCGTCTTCGTGATGTAGCAGATCGCGTTGAACCTGGTGCCCCGGAAGGAGACGGAGCAGTGCAGCTGCCCAGTTAGCTGCACGCGACCGCCACAGGCACTGGTGGCAGAGTAGGAGGTCGGTTCGAACGGTGGCTTGCCAAGGGACCGCCAGATCCTCGGAGATGATCGTGATGTCCGACGCAGTGTCCAATTGCAAGCAGAAGGACTGACCGTTGATCAAGACGTCGGCGAATTTGCTCCGATCAGCAGCGTCGATTTGGAACGTAGCTAGCAGGTTCTGGGAGCTACCAACCGGACCAGATTTGGATGTGCATCTGGGTCGGGACCTCCTCTTTGGATCGCGGGTGGGGGTCAGCCCAGTTTTGGCCCCCTTGGGGGAAGTGGGGATGGCAGTAACCATCCCAGTGCCTCACCTTGCCACAATGTTGACAACGATGCTGGCTGCAATTGCAGTCTCGATGGAAATGCCAGGCACCAAAGAATCGTCACGCGTAGGGTGGGGACTTCGCTCGGTCGGATTGGGTGGGGCGCGCGGACGATTGTGCTCTCGGTGCTGTGAGTGTTTGGACCATACCAGGTGCGGCGGGTTTCTGGAGCATGGTAGAATCATGCTTCAGGTTGAGCAACGTTGGACAGTCTTCGGCCAGGTCCTGGAATGTGAATGAGCTATCCTGCTGTAGGTTGGACAAAAGGCGCGTCCGGATATCGGCGTCGTGTGAAGACTGGATGCCAGAGGCGGAAATCAGGCATTTTAATTGGTCTTTGGTGAGCGAGCCAAGTTGAAAACGTTGGCATTCACGGTTGACCACGCCCCCGATAGTGATGAAGTCGTCGGCATCACGTTTGGCTTTCTGCAGACACTGATAACGAGCATTGAACAGAGAGGACTGTTCACCAAAAATCTACGACAACGTTCGGACCATCTCGTCGAAGGTACCGTTGCTTGGGTTCTTCGGCAAGATGAAGTTAGTGTAGCGTTGGTTTTCGAGCGTATATATATATATATATATATATATATATATATATATATATATATATATATGACCTCGTGCTATCACTGTACAAGGGCAAAGGAAGCAAGCAGTGTGCCACAAATTATCGTGGTATCAACTTGCTGAGTTGTGTGGGCAAGGTGTTTGTCCGAATCCTGCTCAACCGCCTCGTCAGTCAGATTGTGGAACCAAACGTGGCGGAAGAGCAATGTGGATTCCGTTCGGGTTGCAGCATCACCGATATAGTGTTTGCCGTTCGTCAATTGCAGGTGAAGTGCAAAAACTACACAAGCCATTGTACTCGCTGCTTGTTGATTTCACCAAACCATTTGATACGGTGAACCGCGAAGCATTGTGGTTGCGCTTGGGCAAGTTTGGTTGTTCGAGAAATTTTGGAAATTTAATTGTAGGTCTACACAGTGGTATGCGGGCCTGGATGCAGTTATAGGACAAACCTCGGATGAGTTTGATTTTGTCTCTGATTTGAAGCAAGACTGTGTTTTAGCTCCTACCCTGTTTACTACTTATCTTCACGTCATGATGGCTTGTGCTTTTGATGCGGCTTGTACTTACGGTGTTCGTGTGGAGCACCGTATTGATGGTGGGTTGCTGAACATCCGTCGTTTCGGTGCGAGAACTCTAGTCTGTGAGACAACTATCCGTATGTTGCTGTTTGCTGACGACTGTGCGTTGTTTTCACCCAGCGCGGATGAGTTGCAGCACATGACTAGTGCTCTGGCTTCGACAGCGGCCAAATTCGGGCTCACCATCAACACAAGCAAAACTGTCTGTCTCTTTCAGCCTTCACCGGAGGTGCAATCTTCAATATTGCCGCAAATCAGCATTGGTGCTGAAGTATTGGAAACCACCTCCCGCTTCTGCTACCTTGGGAGTGTGATGTCGACAGATCAGCAGCTGCACGTTAAGTTGCGTAATCGCGTGTCGAAGGCGGCAGCGGCATTCGGGAAGCTTGAGTACCGAGTGTGGAACAACCATCAGCTTAGCATTGGCACGAAGCTGATGGTGTACAAATCCATGGTACTGTCCGTTCTTCTATACGGCAGTGAAACGTGGACGATGTACCGTCGGGATGTGCGATATCTCGAGCGGTTCCATCAGCAGTGTGTGCGACGAATTTTGCGCATTGGTTGGGGCGCCAGAGTTGCAGACACGGAAGTGTTGCGCCGAAGTGGGATGTATGAAGTGGACGGCATACTTTTACTGCGACACCTGAGATGGCTCGGTCATGTGTGGCGCATGGATTCGACTCGGATACCGAAACAACTCTTATATGGTCAGCTGAGTAGTGGGAAGCGGCATGTGGGGAAACCAAAGTTACGTTACCAGGACATGATTAAAGTGAGCCTCACACGTTCTAATCTTGATTGCAGATCATGGGAATCGAAGGCGGTTGATCGTGGTGCATGGCGCGATCTAATCACGAAGGCAGTTGCTGAGGTGCGGGAGAAATCCCTCATGCATGCAGAGAAGAAGCGGCAGTTGCGGATGCGGCAAGCACCGATGAATTGTACTCCATCGACATCGAGCGCATTGTGCTGTAGAACATGCGGTCGCGAGTGCCTTAGTCAGGCAGGCAGCTCGTCAGTTGCAGGAGAAGTGCAGAGAACGACAACAGCCACTGTACTCGCTTTTTGTTGATTTCAAAAAGGCATTTGATACGGTGAACCGCGAGGCACTGTGGCTGGTGTTGGGTAAGTTTGGTTGCCCGCGTAAGTTTGTAAGTTTAATTGAATGTCTGCACAGTGGTATGCGAGCGAGGGTGCAGCTGAGTGGAGAGACCTCTGATGACTTTACACTTGTCTGTGGTGTGAAGCAAGGCTGTGTCTTAGCTCCTCTCCTGTTTAATATATATCTTCATGCAATGTTGTCTTGTGCTTTTGATGCGGCTTGTGCTTACGGTGTTCGTGTGGAGCACCGTATTGATGGTGGGTTGCTGAACATCCGTCGTTTCGGTGCGAGAACTCTAGTCTGTGAGACAACTATCCGTATGTTTATGTTTGCTGACGACTGTGCGTTGTTTTCACACAGCGCGGATGAGTTGCAGCATATGACTAGTGCTCTGGCTTCGACAGCGGCCAAATTCGGGCTCACCATCGACACAAGCAAAACTGTCCATCTCCTTCAGCCTTCACCGGAGGTGTAATTTACGATGGTGCTGCGAAGCAGTATTGGTGATGAAACATTTGAAACCACCTCCCACTTCTGCTACCTTGGGAGTGTGATGTCGACTGACACAGTGATCTTCATATCCGAGTCTCGAAGGCCGCGGCGGCATCCGGGAAGCTAGAGTACCGAGTGTGGAACAACCATCAGCTTACCGTTGGAATGAAACGGCTGGTGTACAAATCCATGGTGCTGTCCGTTCTTCTGTACGGCAGTGAAACCTGGTCAATGTACCGGCGGGATGTGCGATATCTCGAGCAGTTCCATTAAAGGTGTTTGCGAAGGATTCTGCGCATTGGTTTTTGCGACAGGGTTGCAGATACGGAAGTGTTGTGCCGAAGTGGAATGCGTGCAGTGGACTGCATGCTTGTGCTGAGACACCTGCGGTGCCTCGGTCATGTGTGGCGTATGGATTCGACACGGATACCGAAACAACTATGGTCAGCTGAGCAGTGGGAAGCGGCATGCGGGGAAACCGAAGCTTCGTTACCGGGACATGATCAAAATGAGCCTCTCATATTCTAATCTTGAATGCAGGTCATGGGAATCGAAGGCGGTTGATCGGGGTGCATGACATGATCTAATCACGAAGGTAGTTGCCGAGGCGCAGGAGAAAGACGTCATGCGTAGGGAGAAGAAGCGGCAAGCGCCGATGGGTTGTACTCCATCGACTTCGAGCGCACGGTGCTGTAGCACATGCGGGCGCCAGTGCCTGAGTCAAGCAGGTCTACTGATCCATGTGCGAGGCCACTAGGCACCACCACCGAAGCGACTACAGTCCCTGCAGAGAACGTAGGCAGAACCAGCGCAGCGTTTGTAGGTACGCTGCATTCGATTTACTATCCGCATATTTGTATGCTGAGTCTTTTCATTTCAGGTGGTGGGTTTGCTATATTGTCTTAATGCTTTTCTTTACCTCATATTAATGTCTACCTGAACTATCTTCTATCAACTTGCACACGTCGCTTAATCCAATTGTAGTTCGATAACATTGTCCCGGTTGTGACATTTTCTTAAAATATATTTTCTGACGCCTTAAATTTGTCGCGGCTTTGTTAGTAAACAATTTATTTTATATGCCTATTTATTGTACCGTTAGGTCACCGTAGATCTACGCATTATTGGATTCATTTTATTTGATATGGTCGTTTCAAGTAATTGCCTGTTGTTTGACCTCCCAGGTGTGTCTGCGCTTGATGTGCATGTTGACAAAGTGTTTAACTGTCTAGTACCATCTCGTCCATACTGGCTCTAGGAGACAGTTATTCGTTGCTGCTATATATATATATATATATATATATATATATATATATATATATATATAAATGAGCAGTCATGACCAACCAAGACACAGAACATCGAACCGAGTAAACCAATAAGATAGCAGTCATATAAAGCGGCAGTTAATCCCAATCAACGAGAGTAATCGATATTGTCAGTCTCAGGGGAAACTGGGAAACATCAAATACAACGGCTGTTAACGGGCGGTAAGACCCCCAAACTGGAACGTTAAGGGAAACGTCAGTATTAACACAAAAAACGAAAACGCTTTTACGTACTGTCTCACAAACGCATCTCATTAAGCGTTTTCCTTAACAAACACGAATAAATTCATTCATCTTACGGCTGTTTTATTTCAATACCCCGATTCTAAAACCGCTAGCTATTGTGCATTGCATAACAGACGCTACCCGCTGAATTGTCCTCCGAAAAAATTTTCATTTTCTACTTTCAAAAATGCAAGCAGTTCACCCAAATTACTCATTTCGTGAACAAGTAGACCACCTTTTCCATTGCGATAACTTTTGACTGCTTGGCCAGTTCGGCTGATTTTTCTTGCGCCTGGATCTTTTTCGTAGTGGCCACGTTAGTAGCCTCATGGATTTCACTCATCAGCACCTCGCAGGAAGATGTCTTTTCTTCCAAGATCACTTTTTGCACCGCCAGCTTCTCGTTTAGCTGCTCAATTTGAATACCGGTCTCATGCAGTTTCTCAAGACCACCCTGTAGACGTCGTTGTTGGGCAATGTTTTCACTGTTGAAAGAAAAGCAAGCTGTGGAAGTCAGACAACATCAACACGCGTTGCTGATATCCGCTAAAATACCCCATACACAGAAAGCGCTTGTCCCAGCGCAACTGAGCGGCGCAACACAACGGTAGCGTTACTCCGTATAATCCAACATTACTTCACGACAACTGACCTGTTTGTGTATGTGTGTGAACCATCCGATGAAGGCTTGAAGAATTTTTAATTTAGTATTTAGTTAGCTATTAGTTAGTATTTTTTAGTATTTAGTTAATATTTAGTATTTAGTATCATTATTTAGTATTTAGTTAACTGTAAGAGCCGTGATGGATTCTAGTCCGGCCACGAACAATATTTTAGCATGGAGAAGCGCTGCACGTAGGAGACGCTCCATAGGTCAAAACAAGAGTTGGACGCAATGGTACTTTGCTTTTTATGTTATTACTAATGCATGAAAAACAACCGTTTATGTTTCGGGATCGGCAACTGGGTAGACCAACGAACATCAACTTAGTGCGTGCAATCCACTTGTTCGTACTTTGTCTCAAGTCACGTGACAATGGGTGCGTGACCGCAGTCTGTTGACAGTCCGAAAGCCGCTGAGGTCCAGCTGTTGATCGAGGGGGGGGGGGGTGAAACGCCGAACCCGTTTTCGGTGTGCAAGCTGACGTGCACCGGACAAAAGACCGACGACAAGGTGATAAGACGGAAGAGTAACAAAAGGTGGAATGGAAAGAGGGGAATGGGTAAACGCTTATGCGAAGACTTAGTCATCTATACAAAGACAGCTGTCACAAGAGCAGCTGTGGATAGCGAGAATTTCGGTTGTCATCGCCATGAAAATGTTCTATAAATTATCTACTGAAGAGAATTTGTAGTGTGTTGTCTGAAGCATTGACGAAAAGCAAACGGGACATAAGCGAATGTTAGAAGAGGTCCGGCGTAACCACACGCATTCGAACCGATACCACACCACTGGAAAAGTGTTTGGTAGTCGGTCAAATCCTTTTGGAATCCGTCATCACTTTTAATCCCATCCACTCCATTATCCGCTGGCTTCCTGTTTCCAGGACGTTGGGATATGGGGATCGGTTAAAGTTAATGAATTTTATGGATTTAAGAACGACCTGAGTGGGTTTGAAAGTGGATTCCCCAGCTACGGCTAATCAGACATCCACCACAGGTCCGTCAAAGCAGTTCACAATCGTATCGTCCTTTCGGAGTCGGAAGTAATTGTTCCATGTGTTCATGACCGCTACCTTGGGCATGATTCCATTATGTATAAAACATTGTACCCCTACTTTGCGGTACTTCTGGCACGTAACCTGTCTTTACAGTGCACAGCTTTGGTAGTAGCTGTTCCATTTTCAGAAATCCAGTTCCAGCAGATTTCAAATGCAGCTCAGTTTAGTATTAAAGGATTTGCACGCTAAATCAAAGCGCCACCCAAGTGCCTTTTAAGGATAGTTAAAACTGTAAAAATTAGACATTGACTTTAGAGACAACAGGCAAGAAGTACTTAAACGAATCGCTTCTGTTCCTGCTAACATTAGTCGGGAACCGAGCAGACTTTTCACAGACCGGTATATGTTTCTCAAGATGTTGCCGATATCCATCTGTACCAACATAATTGGTCAACTTAATTCTGTGTACCCAGTCAACCTTAAGTGATTGGACCCTATAGGGCAATGGGCTCCAGTTAGTTAATGGAGAGAAATGCACCCGGAGACTATTTAACTCACTTTGTCTTCGACTCCAACAGTTTGAGGAATTCGTTTATAAATAAGATGTAATTCGTGGCTGTCACGTGATTGATCCGGCGCAGTTGCCGCCTGAACTCTAGTGAGGCGGTTTGTACTGACTTGTGTATGGAGACCACATTGGTGACCACCGCTTCCCAATGAGCTGATGGAACTTGACCGAACTGTAAAAGGAAAAGGTGAAGAGAGGTGAGATCACATTCAATTATTTTTAGAGGTGCAAAATCGATAGTGCAGTGAGATGTTTAGCTGCAGGTTGCTTATGAACTGGTGTGGCACAGAAACCACATGCGGTATGAAATGTCTCGAACAGTTGAATGTAGTCTGCGTTTTTGGGTGTCCGCATTACCAAAGCGGTCGTGCGGTATGATGTTGCGAGCGAGCAATATCTAACATTCATCGTTCGCGACGTTAGTGAAGACATGCTGTAAGAATGACAAGCACGGCGTCGAGATCCCCGGAAGAAAGCGATTGGCTGCCCTATTAAGTATCTCTAGTGACTCGACGGGGAGTCGAACCCCGGTCCACCCGGTCCACCATTAATCTAATCACGCCCATTGGACGTCTGAAGGACAGGAACTTCGGTCTATTGGGAAGTGACGGGTGAGTGAGCCGATCTGCAACATCAGGACTGGTACTGTGAGCTTATTGGCAACACGTCGCGCACCAAGCAGAAGACATGTGTTAAAATTTGCGCACCTTATCGTCAGCCCTCGGTAGCTCAGGTGGTAGAGCAACGGACCGGAAATTCGTGGACCGGGATTCGACTCCCCATCGAGGCATATTATTGTGCGTGAATTTTAATCGTGGCTTCTACTTTCTTCGAACTTTACACTACTCACAAACATCCACCATTTATCTCTAGTGAATGTACAAGCTGTTAGAGATCTCGACCGTTTCGGCCAATGCCCATTATCGGCACTTCATACAATGTGTGGACCTAAAGTGCGTTCACTGGCGAAGGCTGTCGTAGGATATACCATAAGTACAGGTCCAGGGACAAATCAGTGAAGCGTTTTATGCGCTCACAAAGTGTAAGTGTACAGTTGCAACACAATGATCTCTTTATTGGTGGAATAAAGGGGTTGCCATGATGGCACAAGTAAAATAAAAACCTCTGAGAAAAGACTGAGTACCCCCGCCATTACTAGAAGATGTAAGATGGATTTTTATCAAACGCGAGTGATGCTTGGCTGAACGAAGATTTCCTTGTGGCTACGCATTTTTTTAGTTTCTCCATCCCCATTGCTGGGAATGTAAGGTGGAACTGGTGACTTTATTTCGACACCGTTTTGAAAGAGCTCAGTGAAAGCAATGATTACAACAAACGTCGGCTTAAAATACTGCTTGGCTGAACAAATGTTTTAGAGGCCTGGCACCCATTCTAACATGCGTACTAATACGAACTAGAAAAATCATGAGATGTAATATGCCCAACAAATCAGAAAACATAGTGATAGGCCGCAGTTTGAAACGGACGGAGATCTCTAAAACGGTGGCATCCTGACTTTCTGAATACACCTCATGCAAACAAAGTGCTCGTGATAAAGCACAGCTTGGATAGTTGTTAGACGCTTCACTAATGTGCAGAAGCGTAATTCTTCGATACCGACATTAATACAAGGGGGTACCTTATGAGGATTTGCTGAAACCAGCTACAAGCTAACTCAAGACAAGTTTTATACACCCATATGACAGCATTTTCATTCGTTTACACTAACACTGCAGGCATATTACAACATAGCATCAGTTCGGAAATAATCAGTGTCAAGGAAAACAAAAGTAGGGCGTTTGTATCCAGGCAAACGGTCTCGTAACTGGTGCATCCCTGTTTTTGGGTCGACTTATAAGTGAAACAGATAGGGTAAGATGAAATTCCGATAAGAATATACAGTAAAACCTCTGAATTTGACCACATGTATATCCTGACTACCTAAGTTGGCCAGTTATTTTTCATTGACTGAACGTTCGCCATGAACCTAGACCTCTGTAGGTTGAACCCCACTAAGTTGACCACTTTGGTCCAGTCAGTTGAGTGGTCAACTTATGGATGTTTTACCGTAAACCTTTAAGTTTGAACGGCGAGGAGAAAATATATATCTTACTGGCTAGACAAATAAGTCGAACGTTGGACGAGTCCGTAGAATTTCAAACCAGGTGGCAAAATGTTTGCTTGCGACAAACTTAACGAGGAATTCTTTGTTTACTCTAGAGCGTCAAGAAATAGATTTGAGTTGGCGCACATGAAGAATAAAATTTTTTTGAAGTTGCCGGGAAATATTTAACAGGGGAACAGTATAACCTGTGGGGAAGCACGCACATTTGCAGACCTCATAATTAAAACACGGGGATACAGAGAAAATTGTTAGCATGAAAGCGTAGAAGGGCAGTCTTCTGATTTATGAAAGTTCAAGTATGTGTCGACCAGAGTGAATTGTAAGATAAGAAAACATCGAGATAATTTACGGTGGATAAATGTGGGATGCCTTAGTCACTCACGACCAAACGAAGGGTATTTAAATCCAGTTACTGCTAAAATCGTACTTATCCGCACGCATACCTTGCCCTGTGAATTGGGCTGGGTCAACATCAAACAGGCACCGTGTCGAGCACAGTGAAACCTGAAACAGTTGTGCTACAAATGGTGGTCGCTTACCCCAAATACAGTGGGGGGAAGGGACTAGGAAGCCGTGCATAAGAAATCCGTGAACATGTGACATGGACCACAGTGTCTCACTGATAATGGCGGTGTCCTAAAAACACCCGATAAGCTGCCGGAGATGAACACAAGAGCACTGAAAGTCGTGTTGTTAGGCTGCCTTAATAATCTCGTACGTTACACAAAGCCCAAGGGCCAGATTGTCTTCAATGATGATGTTTGGCGGACTATCGATCAAATGTGCGTTGGTTAAGGAATATTCCGTGTTTTGGTTAGAAAAAACAGCTTCACGTAAAACTAACACAAACTGATGTGAAAACAATGACAGACATCCGACTTAAAAAAAATTACGAATTCAGTGTACGGGAACTGTCCATTTCAGTTAGACAAGCGGTGCAGTGTAAACAGGCGTTGCACAAACCTTCGGATCGATTAGACTACAGGCTACGGCATACAATGCTTGTTCGGGCCAAGGGAAGTACCAGTCAATGGTTGTGCATTTGACGATTCCGGGGAAATCACGGCAGCGTGTTCTCAGTGCCTCTCCGGTTGGATTCATGCATAACACCATGTGCAATCGAGATGCGCAGCTAGCCCGAAAGTAATTCCACACGGTTTCCTTGTTGACCACCACGCTTAACGATCCGGTGGCCATTGCTTCGGCTCGAATGTTGGCTTCGGCTTCAGCCCAAACGTTCTCTTGAATTGTGTCCTTCTCCTCCTCGTTGAAAAGGGCGCTAATGAAACCGGTTGTCAGCATATTGTTGATCAGTTCAAGGAAAGCTGTTGCAGGTTATTCGAAAAAGATGAACCGGATGGGATATCAGAACAAATTAGGAGCGAAAAAGGATATTTTGGACAAAATTTGACTGTGCAGCAATCTGGGGAATGAAAATTTGAAAGACGCCACGTGGGGCCTGCGATTTAAGTGGCACCAGTAAGTAAGGAAAGATTCATCAGCTAATTCACTAGTGAGCTGCAACCGTGCCTTGATGGATATTCCTTAATAATTCAGAGGGTAAGGACACTATGTAGAGGGAACTATTTCTGAGAAAACGTTAACTAGACGTTGTAAATCGCGGATCACGTCGCCATTCCAAACACCATACGACGCTGCTTCCCGAATCTGAGACTACCGTAACGGATGCTGGTCCACATGAGTAGCCTTGTGTCATTGGCCGGAAGCATATGTTACTTCGAATGCGATGCATTAGATTTGATAATAGATTTTGTCCCATTAAGTTACGGGGACGGAGTCCATGAACATGTATATCGCTGAGTATGAATAGCAAACTACAGTAGTATCTGCGTCAACTACATAGCAAGATTTACCTGACGAGTACTGAGGTCAGTTCAGCTGATCAACTATGAAACGAGAACGGAAGTCGATGCAAGCAAACCCAGATGAGATGAATTGTCACAGTACAAGTACTGTTATCAGTATTCTCATTAATATTATTATTCTATGGATGGATGGATAGAGCAAGAAACAAGCAAGTAACTAGGTATAGATGCGATGTTAAAATAGGGGCGGAGTAAGACGCCGGAGTTGTATGTGGGAAGGTTAAAGGTAGAAACAAGAAATCACCGAGTTCCTATCTAAGATCTCCTTGCCTCCAAATTAGCTACACAAGTTTTACCCAGCGTTTTGATCAGCCTCCTACGGCTTGTACAGTAGCTGGTGGCAAGTGTACCTGGTACAGTGATGGCCGAATGGACTAGTCGCGTGCGTCATGCGATATCTGCAAATACAGCGCTACCCAGAGGAACTCAGTTTGCAACCGCGAAACATATGGTTGGCGGCATCCGGTTTCGGATTTGCCTGTCACTGACCTCCACAGGACGCCTGCGCCTACAGAGGGACCATGGATGGCTTGCGCTGCACCACTCACAGCTCCAACCACATACCCCATATCCAGTGTAAACCCGAAGGAATAAGACCGGGAGGCATGTGGATGGGAACCACGTTTCATCAACGGAGCCGGCCCACACTCCTTCACATGCAAACACAAGCACCCCGTATTTGGGAATCAAGCGCACACAAGGCGGTGGCTGGACCGTAGTCCGCTCCACACTGAGTGCATGGAACGGCTCTTCGAGCCTAGCACGGCCACAAAGACCGTGCACCCTGTCCCCTCCAGCAACGACCAACTGTCTCCTGGAGCCAGTATGAACGATGTAGTGGGTAATAGACAGGTAGGCACCTTGTCAACATGCACATCAAGCGCAGCCACACCGGGGATATCAAGCAACAGCCAATCAACTGAAACGACAAGATGAAATAAAACAAATCCAATAATGCATACAGATACGGTGGCATAACACTGCTAAATTAGCATATGAAGTAAGTTGGTTAGCAATGTATCCGAGATAAAGAAAAAATGTCCACAAGTTAATTACAAATGTTACAAACGCAACAAAATTACCGAAGATAAGCGCAATTAGTGTAAGCAACGTGGCCAGTTAATAGAATATTATTCAGGGAGGCAGAACAAACCAAATAAAGCGGAATGAAATTCATCCAGCTTAAAAAGACGTAGTTTAAGTGTAAGTTGGTTTAGCCCAACGGCGGTAAAGAATCATCAAGAATGCAACATCAGCTTCAGCATGGGGCCCAACCGCGAAACATATACTCGCCTACAAAATGGCTGACGGTGCTAACTGGAACCGGTCTGAAGATGTCAGCAAACGCATCCATGTCCCAGGACCTACTTCCAAAGTTCACAAATTTCCGTGACCTGCCTATCCTAAACGACGCCTATGTGGAAGGAAGATACCGTCCAACATCGTCACAGTCAGCAGCGACCTTAGTCAGTTCGTGTGGCGTAGCAACTAGTTTTGCCGCCCTGAGTGGTGGCAAAATCTTCGCACTGGTTGAAGGCAGAATAGGCTCGTGAAGATCACACAACCGGGTCAGGGTGAAGTGCACTTTAGTTTTCGACGAAATGGTTGGTCGTTTGGGACACTGAAATAAATGTGCTGAACGTGACCAAAGTAGAAAAGTAAGGGAATAGCTGGGAAGAACGTTTGCGTAGGTATGACACGCGTGCAATTGATCTACTGGTCACACAAAGTAACATTAAAATATTCAACCCTTAACTTATCCGGATATTCCACCCACTCGGGGCGGACGCCCCCCCCCCATGCTACGCCACTGCCTCAGTTGAAAACAAACGGTGCGAACGTAAACTAGGGTTGGCTCGACTGTCATGTACTGTCACATCTCGGTTCTCTTACAGAGATCTACACACGTAATACGGGTAACACTGGGTTGAACCACCTTGATCGTCATAATGACCAACTGATCCTCTGTATTCAGTCTGAAGGGAAGAGAAGTGTCTAACTGTTAGGATAATAGCTATTTGACATTCTTTTTTGTAAATGAGCTTAATAGCCATTCTTTATTCTCCCATTTTCTACTTCTTGACTGTTGTTTAATCGTTCCACTGTATTAACCCGATTAGTACACACGTCACTGTTAACGGACTCTCATCTCTGTGTCATGTTCACCAGTGCCATTTGCAAGAACACGTTTCATTAGCTATTCCCCGCATCACTTTTCTACTTGGTTACCTTAAAAGAAGATTTAGTTGTCACACAATTATTGTACCAGTTTTAAATCTTTTTGGTCTGCAATTCTTATTCTCATTTGTTTCGTGACATTTGTTTAGACGCTACGTTTCGTTATTCGGTTTGTCCACTTCCCGTCACCGTAAATGGATGTTCGCTTTACGCTTGAGGTCCCATGATGCTATGTTAAAGGACATTTGTAATTTGCTCTTGATTACACAAGTGCTTAGTCGCCCGTGGTATTTGACATTTTCCGTCCTTCACATGTAATTTACTAGCTTACCTTCATTTCGCCTTCAAAAGTATATAAGCAAATGTGATTTCATGTATACAACTTGCTGTTGTGGGGTGAAGGCGTCCGTGGCGACACAAAACTAACTACCCATTTTCATTGCTAACACCACCATTAGAGTACGGTTCGGTGCCGCTGAGCTAAAGAACTAGCTGAATCGTACACAATGATTTGGCTCTAGTGCTTTGAAAGGCGGTACCATTTAACAGCCCGAAGTAGATATGAGCAGGACGACGAACAGAAGTGCCCAGAAGCGCACCTACAGTGGCAATAGTTGAGTAGGTCGGACGGCAGTCGGGGAATCAGGTACGCTTTCGTTGAGAAAGCAGAAAAAGCAACAGTGAATATAAACAGCATTGGAAGTTTCAGTGGAAACAAGTGGCGTGTGTCGAAAACAAGGGAAGAGGGTGTTGTGACGCCCAGTACGCCTTCACCCCACGACCGCAAGAAGAAGTCCAAGATGAGCCGGGATGAACAGATTTTCTATTACAGCACGGCACCAGTTATATAGCTTTACAAACAAGGGAGAAGCCAAGCTACCAAACGCATGAGGTCCAACAGGCATGGAGAAAACACAAAATGGAACAAGCAAATGAGAATCTCCAAAATTACGAGCCAATGAAGTGCGGCAAAGAAAATAGTGTCTGCGGAGTAAATCCCTGGGGGTAACCTTCTGGTGAGCGACCATTAAAAACGACGAGTAGCGTCCAATCAGTGTGGAGAAGTGATGCGTTTAAACAAATGCCAGAACAGTTGATAGTGAGAATGATACAAACCAGGAAAATAAAAACAGGTATAATAAATATGTGTCGACTGAATAATACATCCACGTGAAAAAGCTAAGGAACGCTGAGCAAAAGAAACCAATCAGAATGTTCACAGAATGAGACGGCTGAAATTAGCTGTGAGCGATTGCGAATGAGGCTGAGGAAAAGCGGCGTGTCCAAAATGTAGCAGAGAACCAAGTAACTGCGCACACAAAGCAATAGGCAACCAACATAATTCATGAAACTGAGGGTTAAGTAGCCCGCTCCCTAACAGAGGGTAGGTGAGGAAATGACAGAATGGAAGGATGCAAAAATGGGATCATTTGTAGCGAAGCGCCTAACCTAGGCGTTGTCGTTAGAGACTGCCAATTGAAATGCTTAGAAGATGTCTTTCTAAAGTTTGGTATGCAAATGCATTCGAATGGTCTTCAGGACTATTCTCCGCTCCACTTATCGGGATTCCCAAATGCGTTTTAAGAAAAGATCTCGCCAGTTTCGTCTGTGTAGTTTTGCTTGCCGTCTTTGACCAGCATTTACGGTTTTGGCAACCGGAAGGTACCATGTGTGTCTGTCAGGTCATGCACTACTATACACCCATTTATCTTCTTGTTCACCGCCGTTCACTTACCTAGAGGTAACGAGACTGTCACATATTCTTGCGGCGCGGGTTCGAATCCACGTAGAAGTGGGCATCCTCACAGTATACTCAGCCCGCATGGGGCTAGTGGTGGTCGCACGGCAGCGAAGTGCCGTTACGGCGTAAAACTGACACATTACTATTATTTTTATTATTATCATTGTTAACATCCGCTTCATTTATTTGTATTTAATGCGAAGTAGTATTGTGTTGCGCCAACACAAAAACGCGTACTATCTCATTTATGCAGTTACTGAACTATGTATAATATATCAAATAGTTCAAAATTAGTGTACAGCAAAGTACGCATCCTTATACGTTTATCTAACGGGATCTAGTTCACTCACAGCTACAGAACCCATCTATGATACGGTAATAAACCCTGGGGTAGTATATTTTCGTTTTGTTTACATACTTATCTCATAATCGTTATGAGAAGCAGACCCGGCTACTGTGAAAATAACTTGAGCTTTAGACACGGAGAAAATACGTGCATCCGCTCATTACAATTGGTCAA